TAGGCACCCCTAGAACGCTGGCGCCCGAAGGAAGTGCCTACTGTGCCTAATTGGAAATCCAGCTCTGGCTACAAGCAGTAGTCTGCCAGCTGGAGATTAACCTGTATGGATCTTGATTTGTATGCAGAGTTGTAGTCATGCTGGTCCAGGATGTAAGAGAGACAAGATGGGTGAGGTCATATACTTCTGTTGGTGAGAGAGAGACCAGCTTTCAAGCTTACACAGAGCTCTTCTTCAGGCCTGGCAAAGGTACTGGAGTGTCATAGTTAAATACAAGGTAGAACAGATTGTTTAGCATCAGTTAACACTTATTTCAAGGGACCATTCAAGGTTAAGTGGCCTGTTAACACCCCTCCAGTCCTGGGGAGTGGGAAGCTGGAGGGGAGGAGGGGAGCAGTTGGTAAGACAACTCCCACCTGTTTATGCTCTCTGTATGTGTGTATATATATCCTCAATATATGTTCCATTCTATATGCATCCGAAGAAGTGGGCTGTAGTCCACGAAAGCTTATGCTCTAATAAATTTGTTAGTCTCTAAGGTGCCACAAGTACTCCTGTTCTTCTTTTTGTGGATACAGACTAACACGGCTGCTACTCTGAAAAGTTACAGATTGTTGTACTAAGCTGTAAATCCAGTGTCTCTATTTGGTTCACGATTTTCAGTGTCTAGCAGAGCTATGAAGTTAAGCTCCCAAGATCGTCTTCTGAAGGTGTTGTGCAGGTTTCCTTTGAGGATGGGGACAGAGAGGTCAGATGTGGAGTGATGGCTTTCTGGAGTCTTCGCCCAGGCAGGGCCATCCCTACCCAGACACAAAGTACGCAGCTGCATAGGGCACCAGAAAATTTGGGGCGGTGAAAGGTATGTTGTGGAGTGATGGTCTGGTTTCACCCACACAGCTGTTGTTGGGGCATTTAGTGCCCTGGATGAGGTGCCCCCCATGTTGTGATAGGTGTGTGTAGGATGGGACGTATGTGGGGGGGGGCGGTGAAAGGTATGTTGTGGAGGGTGTTGATCATTGTAGCAGTGGGGATATAGCTGCAGGTTTTAAGTCTGTTGTCCTGGCGGGGTCTAGTGCTGCTTTGAGCTGGCGTGTCCAGCTCAGAGGATGAGCTTGGCGAAGCTGGGGGGCTGTTTGAAGGCCAGAAGAAGGGGTTCAGGGAAGATTTCTTTTAGGATGGGGTCCCCATCAAGTGTGGGATGTAATCGTTTGATGATGATACCCCGTATGGTTCCAGTGTGGGGTGGTAGGTGACAACTAGGGGTGTGCGGTGGGAGGGGTTTTTATTTCTGTACTGAAGCAGGTTCTCATGGTGTATTTGGTGGCCCATTCCAGGATGAAATCTACTAAGCAATTACAGAGCTGGGTGGGTGGAGGGAACCTAGTGCTGGGATAGCAAGGGGCCAGTGGGTCAGGATCGAGGGGCACCGGCAAAATTGTGGGGGGATTAGCCCAGGGCTGGGATAGCAGGACTCTTTGCAGGGTAGGTTAAAATTAAGGAATTTCTGTCTTGGGACATTATGGGCACCTCACCCCTTGCTCTGAAGCGTTCCACACTGGCCCTGTCAGCAGGCCCGGTGCAAGGAAGTTTCGCTCCCTAGGCGAAACTTCCACCTTGCGGCCTCCCGCCCACCCTGCGGCAGCTAACCACGCCCACCCACCCC